TTATCTCGGAAATCCGTCTTTCCGAGATAAATTATCTCGGAAAGACGTCTTAATAAGTATTTATTCCATGTTTCCATGATAATTATCTTGGAAACTCGGAAACGCGGAAGGTCACTTTAAGCTTCCGTAGAAAATGCCCTATTTTCATTTATTTTTTTATATTACTAGGTAGGCCTAACAATTGAGTATTAAAGTAGGACTTTTTTTAAATGATAGGCTCTAGGCTAGCCAGCCTTGTTGAAAGGTATTCTGTTGAAAGGGCACTTCGTGGAAGGATAGCCCACGAAAGTCTAGAAAAAGACTTATTTCCAGTGGGGTCCTTCTGGTGGTTATTGGGCAGTACACCGGGAAACAATCCCCTACTCTTTTCCGAAGAGTGTACTGCGTTCTTTAACGTGCACATGGGCCATAATGCACACGGGACCAGCGGCTTAAACGTCTCATCCGAAAGACGGTCCGCTATTATTGTAACTTGTACTTCAGCCCTCTAGCTGAAACACAAAGAGAGGCAGCGATGGGAATTGAACCGGGGACCTAGAGTTCTCCACGGTTCAGCGCACACACAGCGGCTACCACCAGATTAGCCGACTGAGCTAAGCTGCTCTCGTAATGAAAAAGGGGGGTTCGTTCGAATCCAACAAACCCCCTAGCACGGGCTTGGAGTATTACTAGTACTACTGCACTGTAATGCATATACCTATTTTAATACACTACTTAGATAGGCTTTTCTTTTTCCATCTTGATTTCAGAGGTCAAAAACATTTTTCAATTTACTAGTCTTTTAAGAACATTTTGCTGGAAATTTTTTTTGGATACGAAGTCCCGTTATGGAGTTATGATTTTTTAAATAACATGTCAGAAAATCAGCCCAAAAGCTTATCTTATTTCTGTTGGTTATGCACCGCTGATTCGAAATGTTTGTCATCACTTCAAGATGTCTACCGATTCGTGAAAAAGGCTGATTGTATTTGAGCATAATTCAACACATTACACAGGATAACCAAACAATGAAAAGAGAATTTAGTATTGTACAAAATTTACAGCTCAGGATAACCCAATAAAACCAAATCGGTTTATTTCTGGGGTCCCTTAAATAAAAAAATATTACATAAAAATTGGTTAAAAAGTAAAACAAACATTAAAATTTGTTAAAACCTTTAAAATTACTAATGAAAGTAAAACTAATACAGTCCGCCCTCCAATTCGAGACCCCCTCTAATTCCAAGAACCCTCTAATCCGAGACCACTTTTTCAAAGTAGGCTACCAACTTACCACCTATCTTTTAACACTGAGATCACCCTCTAATTATGAGAACCTTCCAATTCGAGACAACCTTTATGGAAGAACCAAGTGAAAAAATGACCTCCAATTCAAGACCACATTTAAAAAAATATCAAACAGATTCAATTTTGTTTAGCAATAAATACTTTTTTGAAAAATTCAACATTATAACAGATCTATTTTCATAAATTTATGCACAATAAAGGGTTCTTAAGTGTGTTATCTTTGAAAAAGCTATTTTTTAAAAAGAAATGTTTAGTTTTAGGCCACTGGCTGTCATAAAATATTCAGTAAATGTTTTACAACAATCTTCAGCCATTCAATTGCTGCACTACCCCCAAGCCCTGTAGCCAAGGGAGGGGGGGGGGAATTCCCCTGCTAATGTTTCCCTCCCCCCACCTGCTAAAATAAAAAACGTAAACAATTAAAACTACTGTAAAAGCAAAAATTATTTAATATTGGGGAAATCTGGTCAAGATGGAACACCTGACATATACTGACATATATGGTATCATCCAAAGATTTGTAAGAAGAGTGTTTCCCTGTTGGTATTCGCTTTGATGTGAAAAGAAGTGGATATCCAGCCCCGTAGCTGAAAGAGGAAGGGCAGCGCCATTCAAATTTAGCTCCAACAATGGCCATACTGAGGAAGGCGTGGCCCTTGCAGTACTTGGTTACCCCACCCTTTCCTTTTGTGTTTTTATTGTTGTAATCTGTTTATTTGTCTTTGTTGTTTGTGTGACTGTACTACTGTGATGCTTCAGGTTCCTGAATAATGACTGATTTTATGCCTACCATTGTTTTCCTGAATCATTGAGGCTTCGCTTGCGCTTCATAACCGCAAGGGAAAGGCGCAATATCAATACCCAATACTAGTACCAGTACCCATCAATGAGTCTAGCTACGGGGCTTCTATCCCCACTTTATCGTGGCCATGAGGAACTCGTTGGAGAATTGCTTATTGAAGATTGGGAATATAAGGAAAGGCCAAGCAACACAAAAGAAAATAACATCTTTCTTTATGTAAAGGATGGAAACCCACATATCTAAACCTAACTTTCATCAAATAAAGTGTAAATGTTATGTTTACTTTACAGTATGCAGTTCAATTTTTTTTTTCTTTTTTCAATTTAAACAGCTTCAAGTCAACAAAAAATTAAAAGCAAAAACAGTTTCTTTGAAATAAATAAATGGTTGTCCCATGTTGTCTTTTGGAGACCACTTTTATCTTCGGTCTTCATTTAGAGGTTTCATGTTCGGTTACCCTCCAATTATGCTGCTTGGAGACCAAGCATGTGGTCTCTACTTAGAGGTTTCTCAGTTCAGACCGAACCCCGAGACCACCCCAAATTTGAGATACACAGAGTGGTCTCAAATTGGAGGGCGTATTATAAAAGAAATAAAACCCATTGAAAAACCTTAAAAGTACGTAAAAGTGGATGTAAAAAAAAAACAGGTAAAAAACACTACATTAAAATTTGTTAAAAACCTTTAAAATTACTTACCATTAAGTAAAACTAATAAAATAAATAAAAACCCTAGTTAAACCTTAAAGTAAAAAAACAGTACGACTCTACTACACTAAAAACTTTGTTCATGTTTGAAGTATGTTTATATTTATAAGTTATTATTTATAAATTTATATGCATGGGGGTATATCTCTATGCCTGGACCACTTTCTAAAGGTTTTTAGCAACACCCGACCACGCCCACTTTTTTTCTTATAGGGGACAAGAAATCACCATCAATGGTTGTGATGACCGACGTAATTTATTTGATGGTACACTTTTGTTAAAGTAGCACTCTTCTATTGCAGTGCTTTCGAAGACAACAAATATAATTAAACTAAAAGTTACAATGAATTTATAACGACAATGTGTGAAGAATAAAGATAATAAATACAGAAGGACCCTATTTAGGGAACACTTTTTCGGCCACAGAATGAAGGAAAGTACAGTATATCTAACAGTTCAGCCAATCCCTTTTCAGGGAACACACCCATTAGGGGGAAGTAGCTGTGCTACAGGGTCTTGGGGGCCCCTAGAAAATTTTCTTGTTCTTTCCCAACCAGTTTCCCCCAGAAAAGAAGAAAAATCACAATTACATGTATTTTCTACATATTAGTTAACATCTACAGTATATGTAAATACAATAAGCCTCTGAAACCCTCCACTCCCTGGACCACTTTCGAAACGTTTTAATTGACACCCGACCACACCCACTTTGCTCTCATTGGGAACCTTGTCCCCCCTCCCCAAATTGTATCTTGCACCTCACTTCCCCCCCTACCCCAGATTTCAGACGCTGGCACCACTTTTTTGACCCCGAATATGTCCCTTAATAGGGGGTTCTACTGTATATTTTTAGAATGCAGTGACATGTACAATACTTTCATATTTGTTTTATATCCTAATAAAACCTCTTGTTTCATCTTAAATTTTAATCACTTTTTATGAATTTACAGTTCTGTGTTTTTTTTCTCTCTGTTATGACATGCATATTTTTTAATTATGTATGATTTCTAAAAGGTTTTTCTTTACATGTTTTTAAAATATGGACTTAGACTCTTCCTTTTCTATGGTTCCGTTCATATCTTACCCACAGATAGAATACTTTCCCATATGTAGGCATATAATGATATGGTGGGATAACACAATACAAAGAAAGTTAAATTAAATAAAATGCCTTTTCACATGTCTCCGGCCTGACCGTTTATCGTGGTCTCACATCACATGTGGTACTGAAATCAATAAAATCAAGCACATCTTTGCTATAACGGCTTTGCTTGAACCAAGTTCAAAGAAAATTTGTACAATGGTTACTGTACATCATGCTGTCTCTTATACACATCTAGATGTGTATAAGAGACAGATATTTACCAAATTATAAGAATTAATACAAGACAAAATACATTAAAACTATGATCGTTAAAATATGTTATTTTATTTGTTCTTTCTGCATATTTTTACATCACATGTACAACTAAATAAAAACTCTACACTACACACAAAATACAAACACTTTATCCAGCAATTTAGAAACTTTTATACTCTCACACAACACTCAATAAATATAAATATACACAGATCTATTCACAAAAACACTTTAAAAAGATGTGATACAATGTAACACAAACTGGCTGTTTGTCTTTCAGTAAATTTATAATACATCTTTTTAAAATTATTGGTTATATTACCAACAAAGGATAAGTACATGAAACTTTGAAAGGGTTAAAAGAGCGGTGGAACTTTGCTGATCAATCATTTTCATCATTCATAAAAAAAATCAATTTAACATACAGAAGTCAAGGGAGTTGCGGTTTGGGCTCTTAGCAGCTGGTGGTTCTAACCTCACACTGTACATTAATATCTTCTGCTGTGCAAAGTACATAAATGAGATGTTCAGAGTGTGGTAAAAAAGGCATTCAGCCACACACCCACATCTATAAACAGCCAAAGAATTTCCAACTAAATGTGAAATGCATTCTGATAGAAGCACCACCCCCAATTTCAAAATAAGATATGATACTTGTAAACACAAGTTAATTTATTATAATTCTTATATAAAAAAAAAAAGGTATGTTTCTTAGAAGAATCACAAATGATTTATTTGAATGTAAATAAATTAATTAATTGAAAAACCTAAATAAGTTATCAGGTAATCATTAGTCTCATAATTACCAAAAAAAAGACATGATAATAAAATAAAGGCAGCATGTATACATTGTTATAATTTAAACAAATGTGGAATAAAAATAATGTTACAATATCAACAAAACTTTCAATAAAACTGATTATTGTATAATATTTATAATGTTTTAAAATAATGATTGGTATACCACTAAAATGATTAATAAATGTTTAATTGATTTGATTTATCATATAACTGATAAGTTACTGACAAGATCTTTCAATTAATTGTAATATCTTTTCATATTAATCAATAATTGTTAGACTTAGTACAAAAGGTTTTATATCAATATCAAAATACATAAAATATAGAGTCAATCTAGAATACAATTGTGCACAGACACAATGTTTGTTGGTGATTTCGGAAAGACTATGTTGAGGTATGATATCATCTACAATCCAAGACTCAAAACGCCCAAACTGTGTTAAGGTAGTGTGCAAACAACGGGAGGTTCAACGAAGCACCATATTGTGGTACTGAGTAATGGAAGATTAACTCAGAACAGTTTTGATTACTAATGGTCTACAACATGTTACGATATTCTCATAATAATTTGTGGCTGCATATATTTATTTATAAAACATTGCATATGCACCGGTCAACAAAATATCAATGTTGTTTTTTTTTTTAAATACAAAATAAAATAACTTAAGATTTAATTGCATAGCTTGAAAACAGCTCATTTAGCACCATAAAACATGTACTCTCAATGTGTTCAGAAACATTACAAACCCTGTTCTATTTTAACATTATAACATAACAACAGCAGTACTAACAATAATAGTAATAATAATAATAATATTTTAGTAGCAATATAGATAATACTAATTTGTAATCCCACAGAAGTGAAATCCTAGCACTCCCTTTTATTATAATACAATATAAAAATAAATAACTTACATTTTAGCAGCATATGCATACATACTGTGCATAACTTTTGAGATTATTTTGATTTCTAAAATTGGTAACTTCTTACATTTATTCCTAAAATGGTGAAGGATTTATTATATTGGTCAAACATAGTTTAAACAAAATATGTTACTAGTTTATAAAATAGAATCCCAGAATTTAAAAATATATACAATGGTTACTGTACATCATGTGTCCTGTACACAATGATGATAGAATTAAATTTACCTTCTAGGTAACCTGTTTAGTAGACTAATAATACTGGTCTCCACAGGACTCGGTTATCCTTCTTAAATCAGTCTCATAATGAGCCTTAAAGAGTTGTTTTTTAGTCCAAATGGAACTGACCCTAGAACCCTGGAATTGGGAAGCAAGCACCTTAACTACTAAGCTATTCTACTCCACTCCACATTTCCCTCACTTGAATAAAATCACAAATAAAACAATAACTATTCATCATTAAATACTAAAATTAGTTGGCAAATTTTATCTTAACAAATTTAAAAATTGCACCCAAGTTTATCCTTCAAATAAATGCATAAAATAAAGTAGATACATGCATCATCATCACCTTCATCTTTTAAAGTAAGTTTTCCCCATACACAAGGATTAGACTGTTGAGAGACTATGTAAAATGTTAACAAGATTGTTATAAAGCACCTTTAAAAGGGGAAACGACTTCTATTAAACACAAACTTATATAGTAAACAAATGAGGCTACTATTTCTATTAATATATAAAGAAATAGTACAAAAATAAGTTTACAGCTTTTATTTAAAAAAAAGTAAACAGATATGTTTACTATTCTATCAAAACAAATACAGTATGCCTACCGCTTCTACCAAAAATGTAAATTTAACTAATAGAGTTACCCCTTCTATAAAAGAACAAAGGAATAGTAAAAGAAAGAGTAACCTCTTTCATTTATAAATAAAATAAATGAAATAGGTTTACCCTTCCTATCAAAATTATAATGCATAGCGTAATATTTTCATTTGATCACATTCTGTAATCATACATGTAACAAATAATTAAATATCATGAATACCCTTTAGTATAGATATTTTAGGTAAATTAAAGAAATACTATGTTTATTCCTAAGAATAAGACAGATTTTTATAAACATTAATTTTACAAAAAAATTAAACAAAACTTTTCATTAAGCTATTGTTTAACTCTGTTGAATATGTATTTGGAACATAATTTTTAATGATTTTGTTTAAAAGTTTCTCCATTGTAAAAAAAATTAAAAAGAAAGTTAAATAAGAGAAATAAAAGTACTGAAAACAGGAGTAGTATCAATGGCAATGCCATTCACCCTACAAGCTAACCTTTTTGAGATAACAAAAATAAATCTTTATTTGTTAAATGTAAAAATATACACAATTTACAAGAATTCACTGTACATGTGCAGCCCCATGAACTTGGACAATTTGTACCAAGATGATATATATCTTCATACATAACTTCTTTTAAAGGAAATTCAACCTAAATACATAGGAGCCCTGGAAGATATAAACACATTAAAAATAACAATTAATTAAATATAATAGTAATTATAGCTATTAACAAAAAATTATAATACTCTTAACAAAAAATTGTTTCCTAATTTATTTCAACTCTAACAGAAACAATACTCAACGATTACAGGATAGAATGATGTTATTTAAAACTGATTTAAAAAAAAAAATTTGAATTTGATCCTTTTTAACCCACATACAACTTGATAAAGCTGCTAATTAGTTGATAAATATGAAGTTTTAAGATACTAAGATTTAGTTGCTCAAAAATCCAACATAAAGTTAAAGCAGAGTCCGCATTGCATATTTACCAACCTGAGAGATTTGAAATGCGTGACTACACCAGTTTGGTAGGGGTGGGGGGGTGCACCAGGGCCCCAGGGTCAGGTTGGAACCCTGGAGGACCGGGTTTCAGTCACATAATTAATGGTTGATTGTGACAATGAACACGCAAGAACGCACGCGACTACTAGTTTCAGTCATGGTTGGCTGGGTTGTTTTGGCCGGGAAAGAGAAACTTTCTCGGTAAATTGATTCTCGAACGAGATAATGAAAGCTCTCCAATGACTCAAGCTACTACATGACCATTTTTATATTTTAATAAAACCAATTTCTTCTAATTTAAATACATTTTCCCATTAATTCGTGATAATTCGTTATCATGCATAGACTTGTGCTAAGAGCATGAACAATTTCTGACCACGCATGTGTTTCTCCAAAATGCGTGTTTCATCCAAAATCACTTTGAAATCCGGGACCATTCCTCACGATGCGAGACGGTTGGTAACTATGGCACTGGATTAATTTTGACCAAGACGAAGAGTAACACCTTGGTTATATCATACCGCTTTATGCACTTGGATTTAAATATGAACTTTTAATATAGTAAGATATTGTGCATGAGTGTTCAATCTAATCATATATACATTCCAATCAAAGTTCAGAATGCACACAGGAATATTGAATGAGGTCGCACTGGTCACATTATGCTTTTATGCTTGAGGAAAACAGCATGGTTATTCTTCCTACTAACAAACGTTCACATTGTTAAGCTTGCCTCACACCTTGGGAAAATTAACTAATGTCAAAGTCGAAGTGCCCAGTTACATGGATAATTTGATTAAAATTAATTCAATGCGAACACAGCTTTAGTTAAGTAACAACTTACCCATGTCATGATATAAATGATAACTTTAAACTGATAGGTACGCATTTGCCACAAAACCCACCGCAGGACCCACGTATTGTTTTAAAATCCTGCAGAAAATAAACAAATGAAATTTTTCCTTATTATTACAATTTTTAACTTAATAGATCATAGATAAAAATACTAGAATAAAAAATTGCCAAAGTGGTAAGTAATCAAAACAAAATAAAATCATTAAAAAAAGTTCAAAACAGATCATTAATCAATGTTTGTAGCCTAATCTTTAATTTTATTCCATATATGTGAAAATTTAAAATGAGCTTTTTGGGATGCTACTTTAATACATGTTTAAGAAAAATGTTATTAATTAGAGCTGTTCAATCATTTAAGGTATGTAGACTTCAAAAAATATATTTAAAAAAAAACACAATTTTTAAAAAGTCTAACAAACATCTATTATTTCAAATTTTCTCAAATATTTTATGCACATACCCTGTCTATTGAAAAAGTTGCTAAATTTCCCTTGGTAGTCCAGCTAGCAGTTTGTGCTAATTCTAACCCTGTTCCATCAAAATTCATACGAAATTGCCCTTGTAGGCATTTCTTTGCACTATAGCAATCACCTGCTGTCCCAAACGGCACAAAGAGTCCTTCCTTTGTGCTGGAGAATGTTGCATCATCAACTGGAATGAATATGAGAACGTTTAAAAATATAATACTGTATAATCTCAATTGAATCATTGCAGTCACATGATTCAGTTCTTTATAATAATCAGTCTACGTGTTGCATTGGCCATTCAGAAGGATGTAAAAAGTATGTTTACATTTACAACTGGCATGAAGTATGGAAAGAGAACAGGACAGGACCTTAATTAGTGTGAACCAGTGGAAATTTCACTACAATATGCAAAGGCATTAAATCACATACAATGTACTCATAACACTATCAAATGATTTAAAACAATCATTATTAATCTAAAGTGAACAAGGTTCCAAAATACATATTAGTCCGTTTATCCAGGTCAGTGTTCATGGAATAGACTACAAAGTATTCATGAAAATTACACGGGACAAACAGCCTCCTTGTTTCATTACATGATGTCTCAATCCTGCAGTTTGTTTCTTACCTATAACTTCCATAGTTGTGACATTAAATCTAATTTTGTTGAATGATGTGTACCCTGCGTCATCATGACCCTGTAAGGTACATCTGCAGTTGTCATCTCGTCTTCCTTTGTTAGGACAGTCATAAGGGTTTAGTAGCCTACAAGGAAAACAGTCTTTTCATTTAAATATTTTTATTCATTTGTTTTTACAGTACTGTATATTGATTTGTCTCTTTAATATTAAAGTTCTTCCAGGTGACCCAGTTAAAAAAGCATACTAAAAAACAAAAATATATACCACTTCATAAATACCAAAACCCATTTTGCTGATTTATTGAGCATCAAATACCTATCAACGTATGGAATTAGATATTCTAATAATACATTGAGAACAATTTAAAATGTATTAATAGTATGTATTAATTACAATAAATTATATTGCAAATCACCTCTTTGGATAAATTTCGGAATAGTTTTCTCGTTCATTTTTTAAAGACAGAAACTCTTTGGGATTTGAAGAGTCCATTTGATGACAATATATCTCAAGTTCATTTCCCTGAAGCATGATTGTGTACGTCTTATCCGTTGAGAATCCAAACAGGCGCTTAAGATCAGCACAGCTGGAAGGCTTACCTACAAGAAAACACATTACAGTATGCAAATCCTTGCTTATTAAAATCAAAGGTTTATGTTGGGCCCAATCTCACCTTCTGTTTGACTGAAAATTTGTAATAAAAATAATCTTTCTTGGTAAATAATATACAAAAGCAACTTACCTGACTCCAAGGCCCAGTGCGCCATTGGTGACTCCAATGACATTCCCCAGCATTACACCTTCTGCTAACAGAGGGGCGTGATTCAGAATCACACATATTACCCTCATTTGTGAGGGGTAAACCCCCAGGATCCATCACCTGACATTTCACATGTCTTGTGCTGACACCATCTCCACAAGTGGTTGAGCACTGAAGAGCAAGAAAGATTAATATATTGCTGCTGTTTTTGTCATTGTTACATAGTAAGAAACCCTGTTATCTGTATGGAGCTGAATGTCAAATAAACATAAATTCTTTATCCTATACAGATTCTGCATTAGTTCACTTAGATGTGTCTTCTCACAAATGGGAAAAATTACATGACAATACAATAACCCAAATAATAATTTAGAGATTTAAAATAATAATATTTATTTATATAGCACATTTCCAGATTTACATCTGTTTAAAGCTCTTTACATAAAAAATGATAAAATACAACATTAAAATTAGCAACATTATCACAATGAAATTACAAAAATATTACATAGAAAGACTACAAAACAATACTTATCATTATTAATTACATCATTAAAATAATTAAAAACTTGAAAATTCAATATAAAAATATAAATAATATAATTAATTACCTTACAAACTATTATATACAATAAGACACAATTCACTACAATACAAATCAATTAAAAATTTAAATTCAACATCTACAATATGGAAAGCCAATGTCTATTAAATGGAAAGTTAGCAAAAATATAATTATTATAATTTACATAATCATACAAAAAGTCCATATAAAAAAATCAATAACAAAATGTCTACAGATTAAATAAAGAGGATTATACTAAAAATTGAAATACTTCTATATTATGCAATTTTTTTTAAATAAAGAAAACAATTATTAGTCTCACACAACTTGCTATTATTGCTATTTACAATTATAACATTATTCTTCCTTTCAGAAATCCATAGGTATTGATTAATAAAGAGCATGTCTATATAGTTTACGTAAGGAAAGTTCAAATACTCACCTCCTGCCAAGGACCAGCCACCCAAGCATGCGGTAGCTTAGAAACGGGACAAGCTTCCCGGTTACACCTCTTGGTCAGACGTGGCATAGTATTAACGTTACAGTACTCTCTTTTGACCTGAATACCACTTCTATTCTCACATATCACACGGCGAGTTCTAGTACCTCCACCACAAGACTTTGAGCACTGTCAGATAAGCAGCAAATTAATAAAATATACATCAGAACCAGAATTTGGTAACATTTAAATAATAAATTAGAATGACCATTATAACATCAATTATTACCCCCATTCTAACTTTCCAAATACAATTGATGGTTGATGTTATAGGTAATGAGGATTTTTTTCAAATGGAAGAATATAATTTAACAAAAGAAACTGTGATGAAAAAAATTAAAAGTAAAAGTGCAGGATAAAAAACAATATTACAAGCTGAAATTAAAGATTCTAAAAGAAAAAATATAGCCTTATAAAATAAAGATATAACATAATAATCACATTAAAGAAAAAACTATGTAACATCAAATAGAACAGACATATTTTTAAAACAGGAAATTAGTAAAAAAAAATAATATAAACTAAAATTGTTTTGATTCATAATAATTATTAGTAAAGAGTAACATGCAGTTAATAAACAGGAATAAAAATTTGTTATAAAGCTGGGACAATAAAAATAATATGTTTAAAAGCTGGTTATATATTGACATAAATAAATTATTATAAATTGATATATTTCAATGTTATATTAATATGTATAAAAATATCTGTGTATGTACAATTATGTCTTACAATTAGTTAAATTAAAAATTTAAAATGTATATGGTCATAGTTAAATTTCTTGTACATATACCGTATAAATTTTTTGTACATGTCATACATTTACCTTGCCATTACATTTTGTATAATTATCTTATGTTTTGTACTAACTTAATATCTACACACCTTACTCCAGTTTTGTGTTTTCCATTTGTATGTCTCACAGTGCTTACGATGGCAGTCTTTCTGATCTGAAGGTTTGTTTGTTGTACAAACGGACATGGGTGCGATGGAACTACCGTTCATGCAATGCACGGCACGGGTACGCTTCCCGCTCCCACATGTGGTGGAACACTAAACAGAAAACAGAGAATGGGGACTTACAGGTGCATGGTGAGTGGGGGAAGCATTGAGAATGAGAAAAGTAAGTGCATGGGGAATGGGGGATATACTGATAGAAGCAAAGCTGAGGGTTAGGAAAGCACTTATCAGGTTTGGTAGAAAAATCAGTCATATCATTGTTTTATTTTGTGATTAGTCAGTGAACACATTACAAGGTGTTTAATTAATCCATCCCATTGTTAATTAATCCCTGTCTAATTTGTAACAAGGTGTTTATTTTAACTCCTTATCAAAATAATGAACACAGACTGTGATGATCAAAATGCTGAATAATATATCAAACCACAAAGTGTCCCAACAAATCCATAACAGTACGGTTCAAATTAAAAGCATTTTTACAGTCCTGTACTGCAATCTTTATATGTGTGGACATGTGTGGCACAAAATTATGTAATACTTTCCTTCTAATGATACTGTAATTATATTTTGCATGTTAAATTGTCATCATTGTAAAAAATTCCTCAATAATCAATGTACTTTTCTTTCAATCAATCAGTGGTGAAAATAAATGAATAATCAGTAGCGACTGTACATAAATTAATTGGGAAAAAAAATGTGTTTAGAGAGAATATTTAATCGTCAGTGTTGACTATAAACGTTTAATTAGATAAGGTATTTTTCAGCATATTATGATATTATTAATGCCGTATCCAGTTATTGGGACAATTGGGACACTCCCACACAATTTTTCTACTGGCCCCACAAAGAATGGGTCCACATTTTTCAAACTGGGTCCAAATTATGCATTTTTAGGTATAAAATGAGTCCACTTTTTGAATAATGGGTCCAGTTTTCTCATATTTTACCTAAAATGGGTAAACTTTTAAGAAAATGGGTCCAGAATTTTCATATTTTTCATAATTCTCATAATTTTCCTATGAAAATGGGTCCAACTTTAGAGAAAATGAGTCAAAATTATTTGGATCTATGCATAAAGTGGGTCCACCCTGATGTGTCCCGCACTGTTTGAAATTCCTGGCTACGGCATTGGATATTATAATATAGTTTATTTAAAATTGCAGCTAATCCATGCAAACAGATTATAATACCCAACAATATCCTTTATCAACTTGTGAGAATTTGTTGACTATAAACATTTAATTAAGATAAGGTAGTTTTCAGCATGTTATATCATAATAGTTTATTTAAAATTGCTGCTAAACACAACAATTCATGCACACAGATTATAATAACCAAACAATATCTTTTATCAACTTGTGAATATTTAGTAATTTTCTACCAGAATTGTTGACTATAAACATTTAATTAGATAAGGTTGTTTTCAGCATATTATAATATAGTTTATTTAAAATTGCAGCTAAACACAGCAATCCATGCACACAGATTATAATACCCAACAATATAATTTATTCAACTTGTGAGAATTTTATATTTTCTACCAGAATTATCATGCACTATTCAACCAAGGGGCATATTATTTATGTAGTTTTATAGCTATTTTGATTACATTAAACAGCCTTAGTCTCCATGAAGAAAAGCATGGTTGGTTCTGGACATGATTAACAGCATATAAATATCTAGTCAAATATATTAGGCCTAAGCAGCAACATATAATAGATGTGATTGACAACAGTAATAACTGTTGTAAATATTTAGAATTACCTCACTCCATGGACCAGTCTCCCAGGTGATGCATGGTCCTTTATGACATGACTTCTTTGTTTCTGGTTTATCTACACCACAGAAATTGTCAGGCATCATCTGTCCAGTTGCAGAATGGCAAGTTACAGTACGTTCACGATATCCGTTACCGCAAGTCACAGTACACTATCAAAGAAATACCTAAGAATTTACTAAAGTGTTTAAAAAATTTTATTAGTAAGACAGTGGCTGAAGTCCAATTTAAGGCAAGTTATATGAGTCCCTTCAAAAAGGAATACCCATCGAATGACAAGACAGATAGCTCTGATTAGTGACATTTTCAAAGACTTTAAAATATTAAAGGCACGTCATGTAGTAATGAAAAAGTTTACAATCAATCCACTATCCATCACTATGGTAATCACAATAAGCAATGTGTACTGTATTGTTGCTGAGTTACCACAAAAGCATGTTAACTTGCTTGAGGGACATGCATGAGTTCTGATTGGCCAGTTGCTAAGCTCTATTCTAACTCAAAAAAGGTCCATAATGGAATGAACAATATGTTACAATACCATTTTAAAGAATGAAGTAAATGGAAAAAAGTGATAGTACACAACAGTGTGCATTTGCCAGTCATTTCCAACCACTTCTACAGATATATCTACTTGATATTGCCAGAATGTGTATTTACTATTTCAGTAATAGGGTACTAAATACATCATCTTTAGACATAAATTTTAAAATACATATATTTATGAAAGTAATACTCTTTATACCTGTAGTATATATGATCTTTACTAAATATCCAAAGTATCTTGACATTGTTTTAAAACTAATTTAAAACTGGCATAAAAACAGACAAACAATACAAAAAAAAATGCATCATGGACAAAAGGGTCACCATAAAATAATAATAATAATAATGCCATGATATTTGGAGCACATATCCATCGCTCCACTAGCGGATCAGCAGTTAACACCAACTCCTTTGTTACATAACGTGAGCAGGTAGCATAGCGATAGCCTACTTGGTACCTATTGCTGATAGAGCTCCACTCCTAATAACATGTTCCCATCATATTACATCCCCTCTATTTAAACAAATGTTTAAAAAACTCCAATCTTTATTACAATTTTCGTAACTTAAGCGATCCAAATTTATATTTGCAAAATATGAACCATACCACATCTGCAAATAGTTTACAAAGCTGTATACCGATGTTAAATTTGTAACATTTCAGATTCTCAAAGGAAAATTCACCATAGAATATTTATTTAATCTCATCCTTCAGCATGAAACCTGCTAGAATGGAACTTTAAGGTAAAATATTCTATAATTATTATCTAATCTGCCTATGTCATTTTCTGCCTAATGTATTTGAGTAATGTATTTGATGCATAGTTATAGAATATTCAATGCAATAATTCCCTCTTTGACCTCCTAGCAATTCACAAATCAATCAACAGTGTAATTGTCTCCCATTGGGAATCTGAACACAACCCAGCCCAAAAAATTCCTTTGAATATTAATAAATAGAGTGTTGCCTTGACAACACACTGCTTTCTTAATAGGAATCTGATGACCTTATTAGATTGATATCAGGTTAACAAAATATCATCAATTTACCATTTTATCATTAATGTAATTTCATTTTCCTTTTATTGCTTTTAATTGAACAGATTATCACTTCATCTAAGTAGGCATATATTCAAATTAGATGACTTTCTTTGTTTTTAGACCAATTTCATTCAATACCATTCAACTTATGAATAAATAAACATGAATATATCTGACAAGCAAGTCTGCTAATGTATATGTAAATATTTCATAATTTAGTTATATAATCAGACCAGGATATTTCTAGGGAATGTACGCAATGCTTGACTTTGTGTGCGGCAGCTGTAATCTAACCAATGCAGTGAGACAAGACGGTGTGTTCCCTTAAAACAACAAACTGAAGTGCTGTTGGCCAAACATCCAGTTCAATAAATTTCAAACATAAACTTCACACAAATTCTAAATGTCATTTGATCTAGTAGGGTAAGGTAAAAATCCATATTTAAGGGACTTTCGTATTTGTGTATAGTTGCACTTTATATGTATTTGTGGCTTTTATATGTATTGTATATATATAGAATTATATGCCTGAACAGAATTTAATAATACTTTCAGAAATTTTCTTGTTGTGCTTCAGTAATATCTCTGTCTCTTATACACATCTAGATGTGTATAAGAGACAGTCAAAATGCTGAATAATATATCAAACCACAAAGTGTCCCAACAAATCCATAACAGTACGGTTCAAATTAAAAGCATTTTTACAGTCCTGTACTGCAATCTTTATATGTGTGGACATGTGTGGCACAAAATTATGTAATACTTTCCTTCTAATGATACTGTAATTATATTTTGCATGTTAAATTGTCATCATTGTAAAAAATTCCTCAATAATCAATGTACTTTTCTTTCAATCAATCAGTGATGAAAATAAATGAATAATCAGTAGCGACTGTACATAAATTAATTGGGAAAAAAATGTGTTTAGAGAGAATATTTAATCTATTTTTAATATTTTATAAACGTTTAATTAGATAAGGTATTTTTCAGCATATTATGATATTATTAATGCCGTATCCAGTTATTGGGACAATTGGGACACTCCCACACAATTTTTCTACTGGCCCCACAAAGAATGGGTCCACATTTTTCAAACTGGGTCCAAATTATGCATTTTTAGGTATAAAATGAGTCCACTTTTTGAATAATGGGTCCAGTTTTCTCATATTTTACCTAAAATGGGTAAACTTTAAAGAAAATGGGTCCAGAATTTTCATATTTTTCATAATTCTCATAATTTTCCTATGAAAATGGGTCCAACTTTAGAGAAAATGAGTCAAAATTATTTGGATTTATGCATAAAGTGGGTCCACCCTGATGTGTCCCGCACTGTTTGAAATTCCTGGCTACGGCATTGGATATTATAATATAGTTTATTTAAAATTGCAGCTAATCCATGCAAACAGATTATAATACCCAACAATATCCTTTATCAACTTGTGAGAATTTGTTGACTATAAACATTTAATTAAGATAAGGTAGTTTTCAGCATGTTATATCATAATAGTTTATTTAAAATTGCTGCTAAACACAACAATTCATGCACACAGATTATAATAACCAAACAATATCTTTTATCAACTTGTGAATATTTAGTAATTTTCTACCAGAATTGTTGACTATAAACATTTAATTAGATAAGGTTGTTTTCAGCATATTATAATATCTGTCTCTTATACACATCTAGATGTGTATAAGAGACAGGTCATACATTTACCTTGCCATTACATTTTGTATAATTATCTTATGTTTTGTACTAACTTAATATCTACACACCTTACTCCAGTTTTGTGTTTTCCATTTGTATGTCTCACAGTGCTTACGATGGCAGTCTTTCTGATCTGAAGGTTTGTTTGTTGTACAAACGGACATGGGTGCGATGGAACTACCGTTCATGCAATGCACGGCACGGGTACGCTTCCCGCTCCCACATGTGGTGGAACACTAAACAGAAAACAGAGAATGGGGACTTACAGGTGCATGGTGAGTGGGGGAAGCATTGAGAATGAGAAAAGTAAGTGCATGGGGAATGGGGGATATACTGATAG